GGATTCCTCTTTCGAAGAACTCGGCCGGCTGCGACTCAAAGAAGTTGGACACCCAGAGTTGGACTTCTTCGCGGTTTGTGAACTTTCTCGGCCAGGGAGTGCTGCATCGACCGGAACAGATGGTAATCGGATGGTGCCAGGTCTGGGCTGTATGGCGGATGAGGCAGGACTTCCCAGCCCAATTCCTCAATTTTTTCCAAAGTGATTTTCGCGACATGTGGACGAGCGTTGTCGTGGAGGAGTTTTGTCGACGTCGTTTCGACACCTTGACGACGCAGGGGACCTTGACCTCCTAAACTTTTTTTTCTTCAAAAAAACAAAGTAGACATAGACAAAAATATATCAAAAGATGCACAATAAAAATCTCTTTCTAATAGACAAAACTGTTTTGAAAAATCTTCTATAGTAGGAGAGAAATAAATGGACAAATTCAACGCGCATTTCTTTCCGAACAACCTAATATTTTGCCTTTTGCCGAGTAGGGAGCAGAAGAGCAGATGAGTCATCGCTGCCGCGTGGTCGTTATACGTTAGCACCCGTATGTATTCATACGTCCATGTAGCAACGCTTCATATCAATTCCACTACATAGAAGCGATAAGTGCACCAGCGTTGATGAGGGTCCACGGACAGCTTGTACTCAACCCTTTGAACGCGTCGATCTTCTCTTTTTCTCTGCACTCTTCGCATGGCACTCTATGGCCGTTGTGACTTCGCTCACTCCAGCTTTTCACCGACTATAAGTAGCTCACCCACCCCGGAGTCCCCTCCCCTTGAAAAATCGTTTCCTGGCTCGCCATACGTTTTTTGCACGTTTCGATGCTTTGGCAGCCGCTGCCCTCTATCCGTCTGCGTCACAGGGTTTCGTAACAGGACCATGCACAAAAGTTCAAGATGTCACGTAACCGTAGATGGGGGTGGGGGTGCTAGGACGTCGTTGCCGACGCGAGTAATCGGTGACACTGCCGTAGGGGGGGGGGGCGGGCGGGGGCCGACTTCGGGAGTCAAGAAGCGATCAGTCATGTTGTCTGCTGAAGAGTGGGGGTCGTATCTAAAGAAGATAATAGTCAACAAAGCTGTGACAACGTGAGTGCACGATAAGGATTAAAAACGGAGCTAATGGAGTGGGAGAGTGTCCTTGACCCATCAGTCAGAACACTTGTTATACTACACTTTCCGGGAGAAATGAAACGTGTAACAGTGGTTAAACGAAATTAAGGAGCATAAACCCTCTGTTTTCCACTTTCTACTCATTCTCCAGATGATATGTCAAACGAGTTATGTCCTTGTGAAGGGCAACCTTTTGTTCACAGACGACAGTTTCTTCGCTAAAAATCTTCGACGGCGGATTTTTCAAACAATGAACCTTCATGTAGGACTTACAGTGACCGTGGGACGAATATTTCTACTTTTTACCGCCGTTTTTATTTTGTCTTGGGTCCTGTATCACACAAGTTATGGTCTCTAAAAAGCTGGAAACCAGCTGTCAAGAACTTCACCATTGACAATACGCAGCGGTCGCGACTAATGAGATACCTACAGCGTCGCCTACCGAACTCCACTTTTAATGTATATTATCTTTCCTGTACTTCAACCCCATTACTCTTTTCTCTAATCTTATCCAAATTAACTCCTTTTCATATATCACAGTTATGTAGTAGTTTGATAATAGAGGGACTGTGATAATTTGGTTTTATTTATCGTTTTTGACTTTAATTATTTGGTTTCAGAGTTGCTGATGTTTGATGGCTTTGCTTGATGTCTTGCAGTGCTGCCTCGTGTTGATCCCGATTGTGAAATTGTTTTTCATACTATACGAGAACGGATCGCTGTTCTCTACGTTAATTCCCTTCTCCTTGTCTGTTTTAATCCATACGAAAACTTTAGAAACTTCGCATCGTTTTGTTTTCTAGCTCGTCGAGGTGACCTTTTTCGTAACTTTTTTTTGTTTCTCTCTCTCAGCTCCGTCATTGTGTTCTCTTTTATCATTATTTCAACTGATTTTTTGGCTTTAGGATCCTTGTCTCCGACGTGTTTCGTCTTGAGGAAACTTGCTGTGAGGTAGGTATATAATTAGTCTCGCAGGTGTTATGTTAACTGTGACCTCATGCTGGGTATAGTTGGACAGACCATTATACACCGGAAGGTATCGACCGGCGGACATTAAGTGACCCAGGCATAGGTTATACCGGAGGCTACTGACCGGCGGGCATCAAGTGACCCAGCATAGGTTATTCCGGAGGCTACTGAGCGGTGGACATTAGGTTGACCGTAAAGATATACCGATGGTTCCACCTTGGCTCCGCCTCCTTCCGCAACGAGCCTTAAAATACCGTGACCATGACTTCGTGGTAACATTCGTTCTTGTACCCAGCTATAGGGTGAATATCTTTTTACTGATTATGATTATTTACTGCAACACATTCCCCTGTTTTAGGGCATAGCAACCGCTCATTTTCATATTTTCCTTGTGCACAATTCAATTTTGAGGTAGGTGTGTTTTCGCTCTGTCGGATTCTTACAGTTCATATGATTGCTTTGGGAGTTTCTGCTGCTTATTTTCTATCTCGTTGCTTTCGAAGGAGACTCTGTTGAGGTTGGTTACTGCACAAGTCGCCTATACGACTGTTCGTGTTATAACTAGAATCATATTTTTTATTAGCATTTTCGTAAAACTTGTTAGAAACATAAATTATAGAGTAAGTACAGTACTAGAGAATACAACGTGCATGATAGTGTAATATTTTGTGGCTTCTTTTGCCCCGGGTTGTTAGGTCTAAATGTGGTTAAGGTTTTGGTTGGACTGCATCATCGGGGTGATCTTGGCTGTGCAGTTGTTCTCTCTGAAGCGAGATACGATTTCCTTCCTTCAAGTTTCTTACGAATTGTCTAGGATTTCTCGAAAAACCACTCATAGTACTAACAATTTCGAAATCAATTAGTCCACTGATGAAGTAGTGGATACGACAGGACATTGGTAGACGTTACAAATTTATGGCACAGAAGAAACCACCAAATAACGAAAATAGCGATAATTACGATATGTGTATCTGGATACAATCAACTTGATAGTAGTGGGCAGTTGTAGATGAACTTTCTAGCAGCATCTTTGCAACTCGCAATCTGAAACGTCATGGATTTGGTATACATTTATTTATTTATTTATTCCGGTTGTGCTACCACTATTAAGGTCATGGACACGATGAAGTGCGCGCTCAACTTGTCGATCTCATCGAAATGGAGCATGCTATCTGGAACGCAACAAGCGAGGAGTACAAAGATAAAGACTGTAAAAGTATGGCATAGGAGAGAGTTCTTTGAATCGATGTGCCATCTCGGATATCAGCAAAGTTGTGAGTACTCGATTACGGGTGCGGTGCGGCCTAACGGAGGGGGGGGGGAGTGGACAGACGCCTGCCGCTAGCTCGCTAGATTCTTTTGAATTCTTGTTTCCTTTTTTCGCCCACTAATGCATTCTTTACACTAATATCAGAACGACCGTTCGGTGTTTCAGTAGCAGAACTGAAATCGATGTGGAAAGCACTCAAGGACACGTGGACAAGAAGGCGGGCGCTGCTTACTGGTTCGGGAGTAAAGAGCAAATGGGTGTTCGATAATTCGATGAGTTTTCTAGAGGATCAGGAGTACCATGGGTGTGTTGACTTAGCTCCTAATATACAGGTATAAAATTCGTGTTTGCAGAGGAACGGTTTCAAACCTCACTTCTGCCGGAAGTTTCTGTCCTAGCGTGTCAAGATCTGGGTCGCCAGCACTTCATGATCCCGCAACTCCCACATCTGACCCTTCAGCGTATAGCGGGCCACTGGCCGGAAAAATCAGCAGAAAACGCAAGAGCGATGATGAGTTTCTTGAGATGAATTTAATAGTCGAATTAGCTGCGCCGAGGAGCCTCTTCCAGAGCCTCTGAATCTGCTCAGGAAAGCTGCATCCGCAGTAGAAGCCACTTCTAAGAAACTTGATGATGAATGCACAAAGAGCTCAGAAGATAGATTTACTGGATTTGGTAGGGATTTTTGTTGATTTATCTCGCCATACTGTAACTCTACAGTTCTCATCATTGCGGACCGGTGGGGCGTGCCAGCCAGAAGGAGTGCGCACACTGTTGAAGCCGTTCTCAGCCTTTTTTGTTGCAACGCGTATGCGACAAAAAGTGGTAGAAAACGAAGGATATAATACAGTAATGCACTTGCCCGCTTCAAAAACTGGTGCAGAACGATTTTGCCAAACCGCACCAAAGCAGCCGCACTGCCACGCCCCACCGGTCCGCAATGATGAGGACTGTATGTTGTCTGGGAAAACGGGTGACATTACAGCTTCGCGACATGAGTCAACCGACTGTGACGAGTCAACCGACTGTGACCGACAAAATGCGCAAATTCGCCAGTGTCCTTCTAGATAAAGGCACAGTAGAGAACAAAATGCGCAAAATCGCCAACATACTCCTAGATAGAACCACAGAAACTGAACCAGAATTTCGGGCCTCAACTTCGACGCCTAAAAAGGCACAGCGCGGTTCGTTTTTGAGTTTAGCGCGGTTCGTTTTTGAGTTTTTGCAAATCTTTGAGTTTTAGTTTGAGTTGGTCAGCATTTCAACGCGCATGTCGCACCCCTCTTTTTAACTGTTAACTGTAACATTGATTTGTGGTGTAGTTTTTTGACATCTTGGGCGACGCTCTGCTTTGTTTCATTTCTGACCTACTTTCACTGGCGACGGGCACGAATGTCGTAGTACTCCGTTATGCGATTTCTCGCCAGAACTGCTGCGCCTGCACCTTCCCCAATGCCAGCAAGGGGATCCAGCTGTTGGTCGGGATCGTGAGCCAAAACCAAACCTCTGTGAGTGTTCCAGTGCGTTTTGCCTCCTTGCAATTATGTTGTGCAGCACTATAAGCTCAAAATGTGAAAAGGCTATTTTCGGTACGGAGACGCGGTATCGCAACTTACCAGCAAAGAGGTCACGATTTTCGTCGCTTTATCTGGCTCCACTAGCATAGCATTCTGTAGAATGGCGAAACGCCTACATAAAATCCTAAACGTTGACAGACTGAATAAGTTAAAGGAGGAAAGGAAGAAACAGCTCTCACCCGCTATGCTTCCGATTGAACCTCCTTTTGCTTGGGGTATTTGCTGCAGCTTGCAAAAAAGGGGCGGATGTACCGCTTTCAATGATTGAAACCGCTATCCACCAAGATGTGATACTGGACCGGTCCAACGCCTGTCAGCTCCCGTGTAACGGGGAAGATATCGTCCCTATTTTCGAAAAACGCCTAAAATAGTAAGCATTTGAGGTGAGCTGCTCATTTGCATTTTCTGACCTTCATTGTGGAGTTTCTGAACAGTCCAGCGTCTCTTACCCGGCTCGGTGCTCCCAAAAAGCAAAAAAGCTAATATTCGATAATCGCAGTCTACCGGCGCTAATATTATAGAATGTCTTTTGTAATACATACTTCCGGCTTCTGTAACAGGCGCGTACTGGTCTGTGTATGCGCTCAAGCAACCCTGTATATTTCTCAGCCGAATCTTGATGTGCTTGCCATCTAAAAACTCGACAGCAAGCGGGTAGTCGTAACGTTGCTGTGTTTTCACGGCTATTTCTTCCAGGTCATTTTGCCTGAAAGGTGGAAAAGCTTCAGCGAACAGGGCTAAAACATTGCTAGTCGAGCGAGCCAACGAGAATTTTCGTTAGTGGTTACTGTCTTACCATTTGTTACGACGTCTGCCACCTCGCTGACTATAGTGCTGACTGTAGATTTCCCACAATGCAGTTCCTCTGCCAAAGCTCCGAATGAGTAGCCGTGACCCACATACCTCAAGACTAGTCATTAGAAAGGTGGATTTCTTTATGTTAAGTACCCATAACCCCAAAAAGGTAAAAAGACGTTGTTGTGCTGATATGGGTGAGAAGTGAGTAGCTGCATGCTCCAGCGATCCAGCTATGCGCAGGAAAAGATCGTTGAATTCCTCCGGAGTCAACCTCGTGTAGTGCAAGAAATTCTGCGGGTTACTCCAAGCCAAGTACTCTTCGAATGTTGCCATGCGGCTGCCAAGAAACAACACATGCTCCGAGCGCACGTACCTCCTAGCTCGCCTGCTTGTGCGGTACGAATCATATGTTCCTCCAACTCCTGCACTGCATCTAACAATTCTGCTACGCGACGACGATGGCTGGCCATTCTTCAAACTAAAATATACCTTCTTCGATCATTCCTTCTCTGTACCATTTTAACTGCTACCTTTTTCAGGTGGGCATGCTCTACTGGAGGACTACCAAGAAGAAGAAGAAAGACATTAATATCGAGGATGACGAATAAGGCAATACACGCGACATGGCACGATACTCAGGACGACACGATATCATACTCATTTTAACGGGATACTACTACTTGTTATTGTCTTCATGAACACGATACTGATGAATATTTAGCGTACTCGTATTTGCCTTTGAGAGAAATTCGCCGGGTTGGAAAAGAATATTTCCCGGCTGTTGACTTTTTGATTTGTTTCCTGTTTAATTGAACCGGACCGCCCACCCTTTCTCCCAACCCAACGGAAGATCTTAGGGTGAAAATGTGGAAAATTGAATTGATAGATAGCGTTGGGGAAGGAGGAGGGGTCGCACCTAGACCTCTTGGTTGGGGGGGGGGCTCGTACCAAGACCCTTCCTTGGGGGGGGGTGGTACCAACACCACCATTTCACACATCACGATGCTGTACCCCGGCCCCATATCCTTGGAGAACGCAAAATGGATTTAGATCTTTGTGAAAAGATAGAACATTGTTAACATAATATTTCGTGCGCGCCATACCTAAAAGCTATCTAATTTCTTAGTCGAAGAGAAAAGCTTCCTATCCACTCGCTTCAACTTAGTCCCTTCAGTCAACTCGGGGAACTTTTCGCACCTCCTCAACTCTCCACGTGCGGACAGCGGTAACAAGCTTTTCGACTCCCCACATTCTCCAATTCTACTCATAAATTATGCAGCAAGCAGTTTCGACATAAATTCACCTCCTCTGCCCGTGCTTCTTGTAAAATATAAGAAAAAACATTTTTTCATTGCGTCGTAAAGAGACAATATTGCGACATTATTCAATAACACTTATCAAAAGATCCATCACTGAGTACATGAGTAAGTTGCAAAAAGTAGGTCATTCATAGGATAATATCGTAGAATATCAAATATGTTCACAATTAAACGACGTCAAGTCGGTCACGCCTGTGTATTGGCTTGCCATCTGTACGTGGATGCCAAAAACAATTTCGTCATCGGAGTCAACGTGAGGCACCACTGCAAGGCATCAAGCAAAGCCATCAAACATCAATAGCAACTCTGAAACCAAATAATTAAAAACGATAAATAAAACCAATTATCACAGTCTTCTGTATCAAAAACTACATTAAAATGTGATAAAGTAGAAAACAGGAGCTCACTATCAGATAAATATGAGAAACAAAGAGAAGAGGGTTGAATACAGAAAGAATGAATACAGAATCCAATGCCGCTTATCGATTATGGAGCGAAATCTGCTTTTCGAGTTTGCCCCCAATCCTCTGCCTGGATCACAGGAAAAAGATTTATGCCGGTTCAAGGCATTCACAGCCAACAAAGCTTTGACAGTTTCTTGTACTTTTTTTGGCCTAGGAGCGTATCAGTATTGAGTCGCATTTGTCGGCAGCAGAAAAAAATGGCCTTATCTCCCACAACAGGCATGCGAAGAC